ATATCAGTGTACTCATCTAGTATAATAGGCAAACATAACGCCATATCAGTATACTCATCTCCTATTATAGGCAAACATAACACCATATCAGTGTACTCATCTACTATTATAGGCAAACATAACACCATATCAGTGTACTCATCTACTATTATAGACAAACATAACACCATATCAGTGTACTCATCTACTATTATAGGCAAACATAACACCATATCAGTGCACTCATCTAGTATTATAGACAAACATAACACCATATCAGTGTACTCATCTACTATTATAGGCAAACATAACACCATATCAGTGTACTCATCTAGTATTATAGGCAAACATAGCACCATATCAGTGTACTCATCTACTATTATATACAAACATAACACCATATCAGTGTACTCATCTACTATTATAGGCAAACATAACACCATATCAGTGTACTCATCTAGTATTATAGGCAAACATAACACCATATCAGTGTACTCATCTAGTATTATAGGCAAACATAACGCCATATCAGTGTACTCATCTACTATTATAGGCAAACATAACACCATATCAGTGTACTCATCTAGTATTATAGGCAAACATAACACCCTATCAGTGTACTCATCTACTATTATAGGCAAACATAACACCATATCAGTGTACTCATCTAGTATTATAGGCAAACATAACACCATATCAGTGTACTCACAAAGTTTAATACCACATGGTGCCATATTGCTTGCAGTTTACTTGTAACACATTTATTTCCTACTACCTTAGGGACCTCTCTTAGGATAATGTACATATTGACACTAAATATTGTATAACAGTAATCACTGTTATAATATAAAAACTATAAAAAGGTATACAACATTTTCACTGTGTTTTTTCCTAGGTAAAACATATGATGTGTTCATATCGCACATTGGGAGTGAGAAAACTGTTCAGTTTTGTAAACAGCTTTTGGAATACCTGGAGAACAAGTGGAACTTTAAAACTTGCTTAGTTGAGCGTGATCTGCTTGCTGGGGCTGGTAAGTTGAAACATTATCAAGTATAGTAGTTTATGCACCAAGTTTTTATTTCCTTACATTACTATATGTATTTTCATATCATATAGTTTGCCGAAGATCTATAAACTTATATAAATTTATATAGTATATCCTGTGTTAGAAAAGTTGGGTGCCTGAATTTACACTGATTTCACATCATAAATATCTTCATCCAATTGTGAACTGAATCTGAATACTGAGCTATCAAAAGAAAATTTTTTTTGTAATTACTGAGTACATTGTATACTGACTTTTCAGATTGATACCACAAAGAATACACTTAACATGAGAAGAAAGTCTTAATTAACACATGTATAATAAACAGTGCAACAGGACACTAGATCAGACTGATCTATTTAATGTAATGAGATACAAATAACTAACATTGGTGAGTTCACCTGTGAGTGTAACTCCATATAGAGTTACAATGTAAATAGTAGCCCTGGGTTCAGTGAATATATGTAGGAAATAAATAGTAGCCCTGGATTCAGTGAATATACGTAGGAAGTAAATAGTAGCCCTGGGTTCAGTGAATATACATAGGAAGTAAATAGTAGCCCTGGGTTCAGTGAATATACATAGGAAGTAAATAGTAGCCCTGGATTCAGTGAATATATGTAGGAAATAAATAGTAGCCCTGGATTCAGTGAATATACGTAGGAAGTAAATAGTAGCCCTGGGTTCAGTGAATATACATAGGAAGTAAATAGTAGCCCTGGGTTCAGTGAATATACATAGGAAGTAAATAGTAGCCCTGGATTCAGTGAATATATACGTAGGAAGTAAATAGTAGCTCTGGGTTCAGTGAATATACGTAGGAAGTAAATAGTAGCCCTGGATTCAGTGAATATACGTAGGAAGTAAATAGTAGCCCTGGATTCAGTGAATATACGTAGGAAGTAAATAGTAGCCCTGGGTTCAGTGAATATACATAGGAAGTAAATAGTAGCCCTGGGTTCAGTGAATATACGTAGAAAGTAAATAGTAGCCCTGGGTTCAGTGATATACATAGGAAGTAAATAGTAGCCCTGGGTTCAGTGAATATACGTAGAAAGTAAATAGTAGCTCTGGGTT